AATACAAAATAAACTTGTGCATTTAACATTATAGTATAAATTCAAATGGTATCTACACATACAATACTTTGAAGAAGAAGCTAGCCCACATAAATTCAATCCTTTTTTATTCATTATGACCTCGTATGAATTTTTTTGAGCTAAGCCCATCCGTCCTCCCTTCTCTACTTTGTTTGTATAGCCCATATGATTTAATTTTGTTTTTACCTTAAGGTCCCTCCGCCCTCTGCACAGGGGCCAGGGAAATTGGAATTGGTGAGTTCCTGGCCGAGAACCTCCATATATTAATGGTTTTGATGGTTTTGATGGTTTTGATTTGATTTTGATTTGATTTGATTTGATTAGATTAATTGATTAACTTTGGTTCAAATCCGCCAATACTAAATACAGATTGGGTGATAATGGTGAATCACACGCAATCTTTTTTCCAAATCAATCTTATGTGTTTCTAATCTTCTACGTGGGAGTGATCTAGTCAATAACCTTGTGGTGAGTAACTATGCATAACCGAATAACCTTCCGCCACATTAGCAGCCCTTCTCTCCTAAAATTCCGGTAATCTTTAACGGACGATTTCTCACTTGTTTTAAGTCGAAATTTAATTTTTATTGCACAGTTAGATAAGATTAATTGTGCTCTTCAAAATGATATCCACTTTGATATATTTTTGGAACAAAAAAATTGAGACATTTTTTACCAGTCTATACAATATGGCATTGACTGGTATTGAAATAAGAGCATACCTATGGTATGAAAAGCGCACTATGGTGGTATGAACAAACCAAGACTGTAGGATGGTTGAATAAATGATAGTAGAAATATATTAACTGTGATTTGTGACTTTTAACATTGTGTACCACCCCGTATCAGAGTGGTATTGTGTGGTATTTTTTGGTCCTGTATTTTGTTCACCTAGAAATTTGTAAATCATGATGAACTTGTTCCTTCTATGCAAATATTTTCAAAAAAGAATTAAAAACGAAGAAGATATCATATGGTATGCAGTTGGTAACTAGATGTAAGAAAAAAAATTCCTGATAAAATATTGAAAATGGATCTCATTTTGTAGATCACAACAAACTCGTTCCATCTGTGCAAAAAAATTGAAATCCGAGTTAAAACGAAGATATGAGTCATTAAAAAAACAAAGGAAAATAAAAATAACTTTAATTCTCCACCCTTAGATCTTGATTTTTTGAATGAATGATCCAGATTTAGTTATTGATGGGTGCATGGCTATGCACTGTATCTCGAGCCCTTTCTATGGGGACGACTAAAGCTTTCTACAAATTAATTAAAAGTTGTTTCCTAAGTCAAATTATAATAGTCGTCCATAACTCTTGTCCCAGTCCTTCTTAATTTCGTAGTGGGCGACAGAGAGGGGCAGCTGCAGAGAGTTGGTAAAGACAAGGGGTGAGGGAGGCGGAGGATTGCAAAGGCGGCGGTGGAGGGCTCGGCAGGCGGTAAGGGAGTCGGAGGGTTGCGGGACAACGACGATGGAGGGCGCGACAGGAGTGGAGGGTGGCGGCGGGCGACGATGGTTGTGGAGGGCGGCGGTGGCGGTGAAGGGCGACAACGGTGGAGGGCAGCGGTGTCGTCTGTCTGCTGGAGAGAGGAGGAGGAGGTGTTAGGGTTTTATTTATTTATATGGGAGATAGAATAACTGGGTGTGGTAATATTTTTTCCTTCCAAAATTACCCTTATTTTAATCCTAACCATCAATTTGAAAAAAAGAAGAGAGAGACAGAAAAAAGTGTATTTGATGGCTACGAAGTGAGTTGTGAATCTCACAACCCCATAGGAGGAAATGATGGTATCCCACCCCATATTTTCAAATATAAATTAAATGAGCAGCTAATGACCAAGATCATTAAAGTTTTAGGAAGATAATGAGATATATTTCATAATTAAGTTGCGTGCATTGAAGCCTTTTGTAAGCATGAGCCAATTAATTACCTGAGTGGCAGCTGAACAAGGATGTATTAACCAAATTGTTGCAATTCCTATATGTTACTGGTTAAGAAGAAGAAACATTTCACATAATTTTAGTGTTTGCTTGTTAGAAGTTTAAGTACCAAATTGTAATTAACATGTCTTAGGGTTAGTGGCGGCTAGTATGTTACGTTTCATTGTTGTAGGTGCCATTATGTAATTGTCGGTCCTACTTCGTCTCCAATTAAATGGTTTTCAAGTTGTGTACGTAGAAGGAAACCCTCCCCCCTTAGGTTTCGACTACCACTAGTCCACCTAGGTTTAGGGATTTACTTGTGTATTTAAGCTTCGCTATCTTCTCTGTCGAGCAAGCTAAGATCATCAATCATCAATAATAACTCAGTCCGTGAGCTCCTTCGAGCTCACCGTGGATTAGTCCTGTTCACATCGAACAGGGATACCAGGTAAATCGTCGTGTAGTGTGATTGATTCTTTTATTCCTCAATTGATTTTCTTCATGGTATCAGAGCTAGATTAGAATCGTATCAAGTCTCCTCTCTCTCTCGCAGGTCAATATGGGCGACGAAGAGAAAGTTAGTAAGGAGACAAAGTTTGCCTCGTCATCAAGTATCCAGGAGGGTCCCGCTCCTTCTTCTCCGTTTTATCTTCATCCCTCAGATCATCCCGGCCAAATTTTCGACGCCGAACCATTGACAGAGCTGAACTACGGGGAATGGGCTTCGGACATGCGAACTGCACTCCTGGCAAAGAATAAATTTGGGTTTATTAATGGCACTCTCAAGCGTCCCGAGTCAGGCTGGGAATTGGATGGTGGAATCGCTGTAATGCGATGGTTGTCAGCTGGTTGAAAAACTCAATGAGCAGAGAGGTCCGAGTCAGCGTCCGCTATGCAGAGACGGCCAATCAAATTTGGGCCGATCTTAAGGAGCGTTTTGGAACAGGCAGTCTCCCTCGCCTATACCAGCTAAAACGCACCATTATACTACTTCAGCAAGAAAAGGCTAGCGTTTCAAGCTTCTACACAAAGCTACGCAACCTATGGGACGAAATTCAAGCCATAGAACCACCTCCGAAGTGTACGTGCGGTGGTTGTACTTGCGAGATCGAAAAGCGCATGCGGGATACTCAGGAAAGCGGGCGGCTTTTTGATTTCCTCATCGGCCTCGACGATGTGTTTACTACTGTTCGAACTCAAGTACTCTCCATGAAGCCGACACCAACCTTAGGTGAGGCCTTCCAAATGGTCATGAACGACGAGCAGCACAGAAGTATCACCAATACTCGTCGTCCGTCCATAGAAGCTACGGCACTTCAAGCACATGGAGATCATGGGAGTGCTATTAAAGGGGAACATAAAGGTCAAGAGGATCGTACTGCTGATGGACGTCCACGTTGTACGCATTGCCAAAAGGTTGGCCACCTAAAAGAAACTTGCTATGAAATAATTGGGTGGCCATCCCAAGAAGCAATGCGAGGAGGAAGATCAAGACGTGGCCGTGGCCGTGGCCGTGGTGGACGATCTGGGAACCCTCAAGCGGCACAAGTTGAGTCTGTCGAAGGAAATCTCCTTGGTCTTACGGAAACTCAATTCTCCCAACTCAAGGCGTTGCTAGCCACCGAATTAACACATGCGGCAAGTCCTTCGTCCAACCTCGCAGGTAACCTTTCGAACACTACTAATTCTTGGATCATAGACTCGGGATGCAATGAACATATAACTAAAGATAAGTCTTTTTTGGTCGGCGAGATGGGAACTGGAGCTAATTTGTAGGTACGGATTCCCAACGGGCAGCGAATCCCGGTCACTGGTATCGGTCAAGCCAAATTGGATAATGGTCTTGTCCTGAATCGTGTTCTCCACGTACCAGGATTTCAGTGCAATCTATTATCTGTTAGTCGACTCACGGATGATCTCCCAGTTGCTCTTGTTTTTATCGACGATGTGTGTGTGGTTCAGGACTTGCGCTCTAGGAGGCCGATTGGGATCAGTAAGCAAGTAGATGGGCTGTATCATCTGCGGTTGCTAGATCAGAGACATCCAGTGGCTTTATCGGCGAAACAGGCGATGCGGAACACAGAGAGTGGCACTCGCTGCTTGGGCACCCGTCTTCGGCAAAGTTGTCACTTCTAGAGCCTTTTCTTTCCAGCACTATCGTTCGTAGAGAGGACCCTTGTGTATCATGTCTTCGGGAAAAACAACCTAGACTACATTTTTCTTCCAGTACTATCAAGACTACTTCATGTTTTGAATTGATACACGTCGACATATGGGGTCCTTATAAGCAGGCATCTTTTACCGGTGCACCTTATAAGCATGCATCTTTTTTCCTTACCATTGTGGATGACTATAGTCGTTGTGTATGGGTTTATTTGCTCCGATTCAAGTACGAAGTCGCGAAGTATCTCCATCTATTTTGTCAACAAGTAGCTATGCAGTATCGGAAGAGAGTTGTCGAATTCAGGCCGACAATGGGCCCGAATTCAACTATGCTCCCCTGCGAGATTACTATGCAGAAACGGGTATTGTTCTTCAAACATCATGCACCGATACACCTCAACAGAACAGGGTAGTGGAACGCAAGCATCGCCACTTACTTGACACGGCTCGTGCTCTCCTTTTTCATGCAGAACTTCCTATCAAGTTTTGGGGCGAATGCGTACTAATAGCCGCCTACCTCATTAATCGGCTTCCATTGGTTTCTATTGGCAACAAGTCACCGTTTGAAGTCCTCCTTGGAAAGTCACCAGATACTCTCATCTCCGCAGCTTTGGATGTCTCGTGTATGCAAAGAATACACATCATGCACTCACCAAGTTTGAAGAGAGAGGTCGAGCAGGGGTCTTCCTTGGATATCGTGTCTATGACCCTCAAAATAATGTCATCTACACTTCAAGAGATGTAGTTTTCCTAGAACCGACCTACCCATATAAACCAGGTGGCTTATTTCATTCTACCAGTCAACGTTCACCAATATCATCTCCTACATGGGATGATCCTTCTTCCCCCATGCACACCTTGGCGTCCCCCATGGAATTTTCACCTGATCATGGTCCTTCATCGGTGCCTCCACTCACGGGATCACCAGAAGCATCGGTCCCTTCCTCCTCGGTGCATTGTCCATCACCCACGACTGGTGATGCTTCCTCATCGCGGGAGCATTCCTCCGCTCCAGGCACTGTTCAGCCCGTCCCTATGGACTCTCTCATCACCGCACCACAGCCAGCCGAGCCTCTTCCTCGGCGCAGTCATCGTTCAACGCAAGGACACTTACCTCCCCGCTTCGATGGTTTTGAGGTTAACATTCCTGGGTCTACTACTTCGGCTCATGTCACATATCCTATGAGCAATTATGTGAATTATGAGCGTCTATCACCCAAGCATCGTGCTTTCCTCGCCAAGATGTCTACTATCGATGAGCCCCAGTACTTCTACCAGGCAGTTCGGCACGAGCATTGGCGCATTGCCATGCGTACCGAGATCTCGGCCCTGGAGACGAATCAAACATGGACTCTCGTTTATCTACCCCCGGGCAAGAAAGCCATTGCTTCGAAATGAGTTTACAAAGTTAAGTACAAGCCGGATGGCTCGGTCGAGCGCTATAAAGCCCGTTTGGTTGCTAAGGGTTTTACTCAAGTCGAAGGCATCGATTACCATGATACCTTCGCCCCTGTCGCCAAACTCGTCACTGTCCATTGTCTTATAGCCATTGCCGTCAGTAAAGGGTGATTTCTTCACCAACTCGATGTCAATAACGCCTTCTTACACGGTAGTCTTGAGGAAGAAGTCTACATGGAAATACCTCAAGGTTTTCGAGCTCCTAGTGATACGCGTCTGTGCAAGCTGCGTAAATCCATATATGGTTTACGACAGGCATCACGTAATTGGTATCACAAGTTCTCGGAGTCACTCCTTGAACTTAAATTTCGACAAAGTCGAGTTGATCACTCACTCTTCATTTATCATTCAGGTGATACCTTCGTTTTGGCTTTGATCTACATTGATGATGTAATCTTGGCATGTAATGATTTGGAGTTTATTCAACGCGTCAAAGATTTTCTTCATCAACGCTTCACCATCAAAGACCTTGGCCCTCTCAAGTACTTCCTCGGTAATGAGGTGTCCCGTTCTCCCAAAGGTGTCATCCTGAACCAGCGCAAGTATGTACTGGATATCCACTCCGATTCAGGACTTCTGGCGACACGACCTTGCTCCTCTCCAGTCGAACAAAATCATAAGCTGGGCCGTCTGGCCTCTTCCCCTGCCGCTGACCCGTCTGTTTATCGACGTCTCATTGGTCGACTTCTCTATCTCACTGTCACGAGGCCTGACATCACTTATGCTGTTAATCTACTTAACCAGCCCGTTCATGCTCCCACACAAGCCCATGTTGAGGCTGCGACTCGCATTCTCCGTTACCTCAAGCAGTCCCCAGGTCACGGACTCTTCTTCCCTGCGGGTGGTTCTCTCCAGCTGGTTGCTCATTGCGATGTTGATTGGGGTGGATGTCCCACCACCCGGCGATCCACGATTGGTTATTTCATTCAACTAGGTACGACCCCTGTCTCCTGGCGTACGAAGAAACAGTCAGTGGTTGCCCGTTCTTCAGCTGAGGCCGAGTATCGCGCCATGGCCAGCACTGTCAGTGAAATCTTGTGGCTACGCTAGTTGCTTTTGGATCTTGGTGTTTCCGTCTCTACTGCCACACCCCTTCATTGTGATAATCAGACAGCCTTGCATATTGCTGCCAATCCCATTTTCCACGAGCGAACCAAACATGTGGAAAATGGATTGCTATTTTGTTCGTGAGCGTGTTTTGTCTCGAGAAATCGCTCCAACCAAGACTTCTACCCATGAGCAGCCTGCGAATCTCTTCACCAAAGGCCTTAGCGTGGACCAGTTCAATCATCTTGTTTCCAAGCTCGGCATGCATGATATTCATGCTTTCGCTTGAGGGGGCGTGTTACGTTTCATTGTTGTAGGTGCCATTATGTAATTGTCGGTCCTACTTCGTCTCCAAGTAAATAGTTTTCGAGTTTTGTACGTAGAAGGAAACCCTCCCCCCTTAGGTTTCGACTACCAGTAGTCCACCTAGGTTTAGGGATTTACTTGTGTATTTAAGCTTCGCTCTCTTCTCTGTCGAGCAAGCTAAGATCATCAATCATTAATAATAACTCAGTCCGTGAGCTCTTTCGAGCTCACCGTGGATTAGTCCTGTTCACATCGAACAGGGATACCACGTAAATCGTCGTGTAGTGTGATTGATTCTTTTATTCCGCAATTGATTTTCTTCATAGTATATTTGTTGAGTGGCCATGATTATAAGGATAACAAAGATAATAATAAAATTTTTGTTGTTGTCTAAACGATTATCGTTGGAAAAACCACGTTGTGTCTCTTGGTCGTTTGTGTGGTTGTTCGTGTGTTTGACATGGTATCATAGTCTCGGGTATCTTCATGATTCTTACTCTGCTACTATTCTTGTTTGCGTATTTGGATCCCTTGAAGTCCTGCTTGTCTATTGGGGACTTCATTTGCGGATCTCATTGTTTGGGCTTCCGTGTATTTATATTATTTTTATGGTTGTGCATTTGGGTTTTTTAAACCCAATTCGATACATTTATAAATATAACTAACTCTAATTGCATATTCTTATGTGAGGTGTACTATGACATCATAATTATATTAAGTACAATGCTTAGGTTGTAGAAATTTTAATTAAATGTTCTAGAAGTGAAATGTATGTGTGAGATTCACTTCTTTAGAGTGCATTTTTTTTCTTCCAAATATGTCTACCCTTTCTGTATTTGAGTTTGGATAACTTCAAGTATTTCTACTTATTTGTATTGTGTCAAAGAACATTCAAATACATTGAACATGCAAACAAAAACGGACACATTTTTTCCCCAATCAATATTGTTGCAAATACAACCTGCCAAACAACCTGTCACATCGTATCTATGGAAAAACTGAAAACTAGAAATCAAAATAAAACTATCTAGTATGTTTTACTCTTTGGAAAATTTTTTTTTTTTTTTGGAAAATACAAGTATAGGCTTATTTACTTTCCTTTGTTTTTATGGAACTTTGATTTACTTTCCCAATCCTTTAATTACAATGCATTATTTTTCAAAAGGACCTTAGAAGTACTCCTCCCTTTGTGGCCTTACGAGTCCTTTATATACGTTGGTAAACGCGTAGAAAAAATTATCATTTGAAATCAACAAATTCACCGATTAGTTGCAGTTCCAGATAATCAACTTTGGCTTACTCTTCAGATTAAAAATTGACAGAAGAGGCCGCCAGCACAAGATGAAGACCATAGCCGTTCCTGTTCTCTTGATGATGGTTCTCCTCGTCATTAGTGCTTATGGTAAAACTCTGCTTTATCACTCTTGTTCTTGTATATAATATAAATCGTGTAAAGCCTTGCAGGCTTTGGGTACTAATAATAATCACTTGACATTATTTTTTTTATTAGGAAGGGAGCTGACTGCCGGCGGGGATCCAAAGTTTTGCTTGATAGGAACTATACCTGCTGGAGCTCAGTGTCTACTTGAGAATTGTATTTTCTTATGTGCTAATAAATTTGGGGGAGCTACAGAAGGAAAATGTATTAAAAATTCTCTTTGTCAATGTTACTGGTTCTGTTGATATAAAGTTTTGTTCAAGATAAGATCAAATGATAAATGATAAACGTTCGAATTTGAGTTTGTTTACGTCGACAGTCTTTTTGGTTGTAGCGAGGAAATCAAGGAAACAAAAAGTACTATGTTCTGTTTTCCTGTAGACGATAATTCATTTTTATTAAACTCTCCAAGTCAATGCGAAGGCATCTCGATCAACGGTCTTTGTGTTTCTTTTTATCATCTCTTTTTACATGATTCGACAAATTGTATAAACGAAGGTGATACCTCACGAAAAAAGTATATCCCGGATTTTAATTTTCTTGGAGCTTGGTAATTGGAAGAAACTATGCAAATAACGAGTTTTGGTGACACAAACCAGGGATGGAGCTGGGGGGCCATGGCCCTCCCTAAATTATTATAAGCTGACTTTGCACCCACACTTAAGTACGCAAGCTGTGGTCCAGTTGTGTGTGACTTTGATTTCAAATTTTAAAAGGGGAGGATAAAGGTTCGATGGCTGGGACATGCAACTTCTATTTTTGCTTGCTAGCCTCAAATTTTGCATGTCTTACAAATTGATACCTAACTTTTCATTTTGGTACATCTTTTGCCCATTATCTTACGATTTGGTGCCTATAATTCGCATGAAGTTCATTTTATTTTGCTTCTTAATCCCAAGTTAATTAGAAAATTTTGCTTCCTAATCTCAAATTTTGCATGCCTTACAATTTGGTATCTAACTTTTCATTTTGGTATATCTTTTGCCCATTGTCTTACAATTTGGTACCTAAAATTTGCATGAACGTTTAAATTCGTGACATTTTGCTTCTTAATCCCAAGTTATGCATGTATTGCGATTTGGTACCAAACATTTTCATTTTAGTACACCTTTTGTCCCAAATTTCTCATGCCTTACGATTTGGTACCTAAGTTTTTCATTTTGGTAGTTTTTTTGCCCATTGTCTTACATTGTATCGGACTTTCTCATCCCCAACCTTTCTATACATAGCTTTTCTACTAGTTAAAAATATGCTTCTATATGTAAATATTTTGGTAATTTGTGTTGAACGATAAATAGCATAATAAATTCATACTTCAATAGTTTTTATCGGCCTCCCCTTACCTAAATTTCTGGTTCCGTCCCTGACACCAACAAGCAATGAACCTAACAAAAAGGAGTATTTGCCAATTAAGGATGAACCCATGTGTATGCCTAGATTGTAGCATTGGGTGAGATGGTTGCACCCTTTGTTGCCAACCTGATCCTAGATGGCCTGTTTTCAATCAGTTTATCTATCATAAAAGGGCTTCAATTAGCAGGAATCTAAGACGAGGTTTACGAATTATAATAGTTTCACATATGAAGAGACACATAATATCCCACAGAAAGGTTGGTTGCTTTGATTTACTCCATTCAATTCTCTTAAAACATATTTCTATATGTGATGTCTCGTCTGCAATAGGAAAAATAAACTCATCTCTCCCTTGAGAAGGTGGAAGGTGTGCATCTCCTTCCTCCACTCCTCTACCAAAACCATAAGGATATTTTTGTAAACCTCCATTCCCACCAAGAACCGCACCCTTACAAAGTCTGATTTCTCAAGAAAGGGCTCGATCTGCTCATCCCCTGTAAGTGATGGAAACATGTTCCTATATCAAACAAAAATAAATGGACATATCAATTTTTTTATAATTAAAAAACACAATCACATTTCAA